TAGTTTATATTTAATAGTTTTGTTTAAGAATTAATTTGTTATTAATAAAGATATAATTTTTTTGGTTAATTAAATAATTAATGATGTAATGTTTATGTAATTGATAAATAATTAGATGTGTGATTTTGATGTTGTGACGTAAGTTGGTGAGATCGAAGAAAATAAGCAAAAGTTAACAAATTTGGAGAAATTGCTAAATTGTAAGAGATCCAAAGTTCGGGGACTAAAATGTAAATACTTAAAAGTTGTGCCAAACCTCACGATGAAGATTTGAGAGTGCTCGGAGTCAATTGGATAAATAAAGACTTCAATGGAATCAAATTTAGTCAAAAGATGATCACAAATCAATTTCCAACCGGAAAGTTATGCTCCAATGTTTTAGTCTCATATTGAGACCTATTTTTGGCATAGAAAATGATCGAATTGGAGAATGATATTTGAATTAAAGTTGTAGCCATATGAGTTAGCTTTCCAACGCATTTTGAATCGCCTCAATCGGATATCGGAATACAAAGTTATGATAAAAATATTGAAAGAAGGTGCAACTGCCTGTTTAAAATAAGAAATTCCGTTACATAATTTATTAAAATAACAAATTCCGTTAGTTTTTCCGTTAAAAACAAGAAATTCCGTTACATAGCCACTTTTAATATATAGACGATTTTCCCTACAAAACATTTTTTAGGTAAATCTTTTTTTTGTAAAATATTTTCTTTCCACCCTTACAATTAAACACACCCTTATTTATTATTATTATTTTTGGTGTGAAAGCGCCAATAGAGTTTTATGACTATTGGCTAGGGATAAGAACATAATTAAAATATAAACATGAACCTAAAATAATGGTATTAAATATGGAAAAATCAATAAAAAATGTAAGAAATAAATAATCAGATTAGAAAATACAATAGAAATAGCAAAGGTCCGTTTGATTGCAAGAGTAGAATTTGGGTAGAAAGAAAATGAATTTCAAATAATTGAATTGTCTAGAACTTGTTCTCCAGAGATTCAATTAGTTGTGTTTAATTGGTATAATTTTCCACCTGAAATATATTGAAAATTTGGATATTTTAATGTTCGTTTAACTTTATTTTTTATGAAAATTCTCTATTAAAGGGATAGAAATTGTTATAATTCCACTTAAAATATGTTTTCCTTGCAAAAAAAAAAAAAAAAAACCATTTTCCCGCGAATCTGTGACCTTGTGGGAGGAAGTAGGGATTCCAATTGTCCCCAAAAAAAAAAAAAAAAAAAAACCAATCATCAAACTATCCAAAAGTGGGAAATTGTTTTCCATTGAATTGTCACCTTATCAAATAGGGCGTAAGAGATAATCCAAAACCAGCATCATCCCTTGGTGTTGGAATTTGTGGGGTCAATAAAATAACAAACTATGAAGAATTTCCAAACCAATTTGCTGTGTCAAAGGCAAAAATTGCAGAAACCCAAAAAATGCTTGCGTGAAGCCGAGTATAAGACTAAAATCAAGATTCAAGCTTCAAGAAATAGACAATCACTGTGTGTGTATACAAATTTCAAACATTCAATCTTCAAGAAATTGACAGTCGCAGTGTCTGTGTATACAAAATTCAAACCAAAGTCATAGCCATTATTAATCTTTGCCTAACCCAACGTGGCTTTGAGCTCAGTAATAACTGCCACGGCTTCATCTTTCTCTTCGTCATCTTCTCTGTGTAAATTTCTCTCTCACACAGTCACATAGTGAATTGGACTTTTCTGGGCGATCTCTTGCAGGTAAAATATTGATAGTAAAAGCTTGATTACTTCTTTTCTTATGTGATCATATCTCTATTATATACGTACTATGAATTATGACGAAGAAAAAATTATTCTTCAATTAGTTTTCTGTTAAATTCTTTTTTTGGATCTCTTGTAATTCTTGCACACCCCTCTCCGTCTCTTACCCCCACACACTGCAAAATTCTTAGTACTGGATAAAGTTTCCATCTGTGTGTAAATATGACTGCATATTTGTATTTTTGTATCCGCACATATCTATGCTTAACTTCAAAATTTAGTAAAGGAATCTCTGAGAATGTAAAATGCATATTCTGCTTTAATTTTTCTGGGTAAGCTCCTTGGTATACACTAATATTAGAAATCTGATCAATAATCTCTATAAGTGGGTCAAGATGTAGATCACTCCTATAAGTAAATGATTGAATTTACAATATACCAGAACTTGGGATAAAATAACTTGACTTCAAATGTTATGCCTCTATGGAATTTGACTTCAGTGCAAATAACTTTTTTCCTACCAAAATCTGAACGCGAGTTTGATAAGTCTGAGTTTTTTGAGTGACGCTGTAATGATGAATGAGATAATAGGTAATTCATTTACCTCGTGAAATCTTATCGTCGAACAAAGTGCTTGAATTTATTAAAAGTCCGGTAAATCAGATTTGCTTCATTAATATTGATACCGCTGTAGTTTTTGGAACTGGTAATTTTAACCCTCAATCTATCTATGATTTTATACACGTCTACTTATTGTTCTAGCTATTAATGAAACTCACCATTAAAGAACCATTTGACTAAACGTTAGTGCGCACCATGGGTTTCCATAAAGAAAAGAACAGAAACAGAAGAATGGAAACGAGAATGAAGTATAAATCATTGTTCTTGTTTTGATGTTATTCTTTTCCCCAATTTCTGTAGTTTGTTTTTGAAGCAAAACAGTCTGATAATAGTTGGCCAAGCTGGTTTTCTATTGATAGAGTTCTTGAATTCATTATGTGGTTTTCTATCTTTCAATAAAACGAGGTTGTTGTACAGGAAGTTTTTCTGTTTACTCTTTACTATTTTTCTTCTGTTAACCGGTTAAGTTCCTTTTTTTTTTGTTTATACTAGGATAGAGGAGTCAGTATATTCATCAGTGCTTATATAGGCTGCAAAAACATTGGATGCAGGTACGAAGAAATGGGTTCCAATAGTGCCATATGCTGCATCCTTGTTTTCATTTTGATGGTGCTGAATTCTGTTTATCAATATTCTGCAATTGAAATTGAAGCAAGCCAGACAGCATTGCTTTTTGTTAATACTTCTGAAGCATCAGCAAAGGAAATACCTGAAAACTTGTTTGGCATATTTTTCGAGGTGAGATATGTAATTTATGATGAAATTCTACATCAACTTCATCTTCCATGTTATATCTGTGCATTAGGATGTACTCGGTGTTTGTTTTGTTTAACTTTTAGCATGCAAGCAGACATGGGTATTTTCTTATGTAAATAATGGTTTGCATGATCCGTCACTTGATATGTTATAAGTAATTGGTTCCATAGGTACTGTCCATGTGTGCATCATCGTTGAATTTTAAAGTTTTAAGCTATATTATTATTAGAAAACATGTTCATAATTTTTTCTTTGTATATGTATGAGAAACACACGAAATGATATTATATGTGGGTTTAGAGATTGACATTGTTAGGTTTTCTGGGTTTACAATAATTGTTATCCTGAGTGAAACCTCTCCTTTGACATCTAAACAAGTGTTAATGTTTATCATATTTACGTTAGCTGTTAAATAATGAAAACAGAGGCTAATATTCTTTGAAATATCTGCAGGAGATTAACCATGCTGGAGCTGGAGGATTGTGGGCTGAGCTTGTTAGCAACCGAGGTCAGCTAGAATTTCCTTAAGTTGTTCTTAGAAAAGGAAAACATTAAATGAAACTCGATATCCATTATAATCTCTTCCATGGTTTTTGTTATTAAAATTTGAACGTTAACGTTTGCATATTCCTTAGTTTATTTGAATAGGAGGAAAATATTATGCTGTCATCTTTTTTTCTTCTTATCTTTCTTGATTCATCAATGCTATGGAGATCTTTGTAGCAATATGGGGTTTGGGAACTAGTGCTTGTGTTTAATATCCCCTGGTACGATTTTGATAATTTGTACAGAGTCTTCCTTTGTGTTTTATGGCAGTTGATTACTTAGCATCCTATGTTCAAGTGGCAAATGGTTTCCCCTGCCCCATTTGATCATTGACAATATCAGAGAAATTGTGCAATTTCTTGTTCTTCGTATGTAAGTTTTAATTTAGTTCTTCCTTCTTGTCAATGTTCTTCCGTCTTGTCTTCTGAGTCATTTTCAAGAAGCTCCCTCAAGCTACTTTTGTTCTTTTCCTTTTTTTTTCCCATCTTCCCTATTTTGATGTAGAAGCACCCGTCTTTTGCAAGAATCTTATCAGTAGACTGTACTTTGGAATGTGTAAGTGATTTGAAGCTTGAAGAATATGCCTCCTTGGATGTATTCTTCATCTTACCTCCAAATGATCTGCTGTACAATTTTTGCAAAATGCCACTCACAATACTTACCGCCTTACCATGTTACTTCATGCATAGAAAACAATTAATGCTTCTTTCGCTTTGTTTCCTCTCAGCCACATTTTGCACGGCAGGACTTGATCAGTTAAATATCAGTGACATTTTCTGAAATTCATGATTGTTTTAGAGAAAAACCTGTATATTATATAGGTTGAAACGATTATGTCACTTGCTTTTGTTATGGATGCCGATGATTAGGAGTCTCAAATAATTTTAATTTCAGGTTTTGAAGCTGGGGGCCCCAATACACCTTCAAACATTGATCCCTGGTCTATTATTGGGGATGAATCATCGTTAATTGTATCAACAGAACGTTCATCGCGCTTTTCTCGAAATAAAATTGCTCTGCGAATGGAGGTGCTATGTGACAATGAAGGCACAAGTATCTGTCCAGCTTGTGGAGTTGGTATTTATAACCCTGGGTTCTGGGGCATGGTAAGAGTTAACACTTATTCAAAATCTGAAAGGGAAATGAAGGTGTCTACAGTGAATAATCAAAATGCAATATATATATAAATTACACTTTCTACTTTCCCCAAGAGCCAGATGGACCAGTAATATGCATAATTCTGTTTTTGATCAATAATTTGTGTAACATCTGGTTTTTTTGAGTTTTTGTAGCTTTTAATATTGTGATTCCAAATAATTATTCTTCTTCTTCTCTACTTTAGTAAGTAAAAGTCAAAATCTTATTTTTCTCAATTGTTTGATATTCCAAGTAAATTATGAAAAACAAATTATGGTTTCTGGCAGAAATTTTTTAGATTTAATTGGGTGTTAAGTTTTCTGTCGTTCACTAGTTGTAAAATTGTATTTCTCAATTTTACTTTACAAAATTCTTATATAGGAAACAACAAATACTTGGAGTTTCATATCTATGTCATCTTGGAGTGATGTTTTAAAAGCAGGATTTGGTGGTCTTCAAATTTTTCGTAGGACACATTCCATATATTTGGTATTTTTCCTCTTTTAAAAGAATTAAATATGAAAGTGTTACTTTCCTAATCATATAGGATATGTTTGGTGTATAGTATTAGATTGATAAACTACAAAGCAATTTTTGACTTATTTTTCTTCTTTGATATTTTTGGTCGCACACAAAATTTTTCAAAATAATGTTGAAGTTAGTTTGATTTTAAAGTTTTTCGAGGTAAACATGTTAAATTTAATCCCATCGGTCTTCTGTGGATCTGTATAATATTATCATCTTTTTAATCTGCCAACTGGAACCTTATATGTTTTTCTCTTGCAGAATATTGAACAAGGGAAAACCTATAAATTGGTGTTCTATGTTCGTTCAGAAGGATCAATTGATTTGTCTGTGTCCTTGATGGGTTCAGAAGGATTGCAGACATTGGCTACGGCTAACATTAAGTCAGTATTGGTGACTCATTACAATCCCTTTGGTAGCATGTTTGCTAACGTGGATTAAACAATATTAAATAAGAAAAAGAAGTTCGAATATTGTCTGTTATACTATCAGGACAATCTAACCCTTCATACGTAACATGCACTAAATGTTTTTGGACCTAGGTTACATCTTGAATATTTTTAAGTTAATGTTCCTGCAGAGCTTCTCATGTATCAAATTGGACAAAGATGGAGGTTTTATTGCAAGCACTAGGAACTGATGCAAAATCAAGACTTCAGCTCACTACGACCAAGAAAGGTGTTATTTGGTTTGATCAAGTATCATTGATGCCTACAGATACGTACAAGGTGAATGTATACTCCAGATCAATTTTTATCACCGAAGAGAGTGTGAAATACTTTTAAGATTGCTCTCTAGATATGATGTTCAGAAACTCATACAAGGGCAAAGTGTTCGTGTCCATGTCCGACACGTGTCGGACACTGACACCCAAGGCTTGCTTGGTAGTGGTTAAGAGCGGTTTTTAAAGTATTGATTTTCAGCATTTATGAGCAGACCGATTTGAGTGGTTTTAGTAGCAGTTTATGAAACAATCCAACTCATGCTTCAGAGCTTATTATTCATCGGTTCTGAAAGTTTTTTAGAAGATAAAATTGCATACTGTCTTTAGTGAAATTTTCAATTTCTAATTTCTCATATGATATTTATTTTACTCAGAAGTTATATTTTGCTTATAAGTAAATTTTTTTACATAGAAGTTAATATTTAACTTAAAAAGTTAAATATTTACTTAAAATTTTAAGCTAGTATTTTTTACTTACAATTAAATTAAACAATTGTAATTTACTTTGAAACATTTTTTACCTATAAGTAATTTTTTATATTTTATAAGTATATTTTGTCTTATTAGTTGTATTTTTACTTTATAAACAATTTTTTTTATAAAAAAGTGATTTTTATCTTGTAAGTAAATATTTTAATTATAAAGTAATGTTTTTGCTTATAAATAATTATTTAATCAATATATTTTTATTTATAAGTTAGTTTTGAACAAAATATGTTAGTTATAAATAATTATTTTGTAAAGAGTAAAATTAGAAGAAAATATGTGGAAGGGTTGAAAGAAATTATCAAAATTACACTATACCGGTTTTGGAATGATTTTTAAACCATCCAAAATTGTGCCCAAAAAAACTAGCAAGCACCTATTTTCTCAACCTCCTCGTAAATAATGCAACCCAAAATGGGTAAAACACTGGTAAAAAAAAAACCTCCGAAGTGCCTCAAGGATATGTTTTCAACGAGCCACGTGTCACGTGTCTTTGTCCCATTACACACACACACACACATATATGTATGTATGTATGTATGTATTTTCTTTTTTTTAAAATTACTTATACTCTAGGGATACTTTATAGACACCCCGGGGCATGTGTCCGACATGCCTTGTACCGTGTCCTATATAAAAATAAAGACATTATATGAGTTTAAAATTTTAAAAAATTTAAATTGATGTGTCTTGAAGATGTCTCTGTCCTACTTTTACAAAAAATCACATGCTAGCATATTTGTGTCTTGTCATGTCCATGCTACATGTCACTGTCCATGCAGCTTAGCTCTCTGTCTTCCTGAATAATTGGGTGCAAGATTGAGCTGCTTTTGATAAGGTTGAGATTTCTTGTATAATATAAGCTCCTCATTACTATCTCTTGGCACAGGGACATGGTTTTCGCAATGATCTTTTTGAAATGCTGAAAGATTTGAGACCAGGATTTATCAGATTTCCAGGTAGTCCTAATTTTTTCATATTGCCCCCCCAATTTTCTTCTTTCAACTTGTTTTTTTTACACGTTTATGTGGGTTATTGCATTAGCTTTCTTTGGGATTCGTCATATTTATATACCTCATGTTCCTTGAGGCCTTGTAATATATAGCTGGATTACCGCAGCATCCCTTTCGTGCTATCCATGTTGTAGGTGGTTGTTTTGTCGAAGGTGAATGGTTAAGAAATGCGTTTCGCTGGAAAGCAACTGTTGGACCATGGGAAGAGAGGCCTGGGCATTTTGGCGATGTTTGGTATTACTGGACTGATGATGGTCTTGGTCATTTTGAGTTTCTCCAGGTAAATATAATTGATATTTTTATTTTCTTAAAATTATTCAATTATCATCTTCTTCATTGTTTTTTACTCTTTCAATTTCACTTCTTTTGCAGCTTGCTGAGGACTTAGGTGCAGCACCAGTATGGGTGTTCAACAACGGTACTCTTTTAGACTATAATGTTGTGGTGATAAATAGAGCATGTTTATCTAAGCTTAAAAAGTTTACTTACAAATACCCAATTAAGTTGTAAAATAAATAAGTTTTTTATTGGTCAAAGTTGAAAATAAGTAAGTAGGTTATTTTGACAATAACTTTAGAGTTGCTTCCAAATTTTTTTTTTAACCTAAAAATAGGGAAACTAATAAGTTGTTTTAACGTGTTTGGAGACTAAACGTAACTTCACCTTTTCTTACGCTTAGCTAAACATGCACAAGTTGGATTTTTGAGTTTCTTTTCCTTTTTCTCTTATTTTGTTGTCTTCATGTCCAATAATTCTCAGGTGTCAGTCACAACGATCAAGTTGACACTTCCAGCGTGTTACCTTTTGTCCAAGTAGGTCTCTTGGGTTCAGTTCAGATATGCACGAACATTTAATTCTTAAAACCTCACCCTTAATTTTTAGCTTTGAACTAGCCCTGCATGGAGCAGTATCATAAAAATGTTCTATGTTGCAATGTATTTCACTTCTTGGAAATCAACTATAGGAAATCCTAGACGGTATTGAGTTTGCAAGAGGCGGTCCTCAATCAAAATGGGGTTCTCTACGAGCTGCAATGGGACACCCGGAACCTTTTGATTTGAAATATGTTGCAGTTGGGAATGAGGATTGTGGGAAGAAAAATTATGTTGGTAAGCTATTCTTTACGTACGTAAACATTTCTTTTTACTAGCCTATAAGATGAACCAGTATGTAATATAAAACTAAACATCCTTGTTGTGTTTATATTTCACATAAAAGGTTATTTCCTTTGTCAATAAAAGATAAAGAAGCTTCAACACCATCCTGACGAGGAATAATGATAAAGGTTTAGTGACCATGATATATAAATTATTTATCACAAGCTGAAATACAATTCACATGTTCACTCAAATATAAATCTTGTATTTGCCTTCAACTGATGAATTTTTACTTATATAATTTAACTTAAAATTCTTAGACAATTGTTTGATTAAGTTACACCAGTTATTGGAATCATCTAGATCAGATTTATTTTGCTCAACCATCTTTAAGCAAAACTCAAGTTAATTGTCAATATAATTCCCTATTTTCTTATTATTCAGGAAACTACCTCAAGTTCTATAGTGCTATAAAAAAAGCATATCCGGACATCAAAATAATCTCAAACTGCGATGGATCCTCTGAACCATTGGATCACCCAGCTGATATGTATGATTATCATGTAAGTACTTCATCATTCTTTCACACATTTACAATATATTTGATTATTAGAAATGTGGAAGCTACTTATTCATGTATGGTTTCCCTGTTAGATTTATACTGGTGCAAATAATATGTTTTCCTCCGCATCAAAGTTTGACCAAGTCTCACGCAATGGTCCAAAGGTTTGTAGCAGTTCACTTTGATAATATGAGTCATGTATGGGTTTATTCTTTAGTTGACATAATTTGGTGTGTAGGCTTTTGTCAGTGAATACGCTGTGACTGGAAAGGATGCTGGCAAAGGTAGTCTTTTAGCAGCTCTTGCAGAAGCTGGATTTGTTATTGGACTCGAAAGGAACTGGTATCATAACAATTTCAAGGATTTTTCATGCTTAAAATTTTCCTTAAATGTTGCTTTGCTTATTTATCAACAATATTTGTTTTGTATGTGCTTATGTTACCTAGTCAGTTTACTCATGGAACATTTTTCTTCTGCTATGATATTTTAACAATGATGAAGATTTATATTTGCTCCTTCAATGCAGCGATGCTGTTGAAATGGCTAGTTATGCACCTTTATTTGTTAATACCAATGATAGAACGTATGTTTTACTTCTTCCTACTCAATACCATATTTCCCATTTCCAACTGCTTTTTTATGAATCACTAAGAGAAGATTTTCTTGGATTCAGGTGGAACCCAGATGCAATTGTCTTCAACTCAGCACAGGTGTATGGAACTCCTAGCTATTGGATGCAGCATTTTTTCAGGGAGTCAAACGGTGCAACTCTTCTGAGTTCTTCTCTTCAAGCTAACTCTTCAAGTTCTCTTATTGCTTCAGCAATTGTTTGGCAAAAATCAGAGGATAACAAAAAATATCTTAGAATAAAGGTTTGTTTACTTTCCAATCATAGGTTTTTGCGTGAAAGTAAAATAAGTAAAAATCCAAATGTTTCATTTCTACGTTGAACATCATTTCACCATTGGGTATATTAGAACTGCTTCTACCATTGTAATCTTTAACCAGTCTGTGCATGATTCTTAAATTTCTCTCTCTTTATTAACTCGACAAATGTGTTCTCCAGGTTGTGAATTTTGGAAGCAACAATGTGACTCTTAAAATATTTATTGATGGACTGGAACTGAACTCAGTACCATCCTTTGGATTCACAAAGACTGAATTAACATCTAGTAATCTGATGGATGAGAATTCTTTCCTAGTACCCAAGAAGGTATATTTGAACCTCCTTGCTAACAAAGACTGATACCATCTCCCTCTTTTGTCCTCCATTACATTGCATCCGTGTATTGCACTAAAGAAGAAGCCTGGCTTAGAGCGCGTTAATCTCCATTTATTTAAGTTATTTCATCATGTGAATATCCAGGAAATATATTCCTTCTTCCTTAAAAGCAATTCATAGGTTTTTTCCTCGTGCCCCATGAATCCTGAAGTTCCTTATTTTTTGGTTCTATGCAGGTGATGCCGATTAAAATTTCAATGGAGGAGGCTGGTGGCAAAATGGACATTGTACTTTCTCCACATTCGTTTACTTCATTTGACTTGTTAATGAAATCAAACAGTATCCGGATAGTAGGATCTGATAATGCTGATACATACTTCATATGAACTGTGGACTGAATGTGAAATGAATATTAGTAATAAAGGTCATTTAAATGGTAATGGTGTTTGTAGCTTGGAACTTCTTGTTGAAGCTGCTTTCTTCCTCTACTCTTTTCATTTCCTAAGAGTAGTTCCTGAGTTGGAAGTGCATCGTCTTAAGGGATCATCTTACTGTTCAAAATAAATTGTGACTGTTTGTCTTAATTCAAATGCAAAACCAAGTCAGATAATCGAACGACTTGGTTTCTTTTAAGGGCTTTCGAGCAAACTTAAGCCAGAAGGTGAAGAAAATTGGGCCAAGTTTACTGCAACACGGAATGATCTACAAGCTTCTGGGCACAATCCACATTTTGAGAGAGAGAGAGAGAGAGTTTAACATTCTTGATTCTGATTTAATAGATTAAATGCAAATTTCTGAGTTGAAATCAGATTGAACAAAATGAGAGAATAAAAATGGAAACAACCTCTATGGCTCTCAATTTCCCATTCTGTATGAGTGAATAAATTTATGTAGGTGTGAGTATAAAATTCTTCTTGGTCCCTAAAATTTATTTTAAATTGGTTATTAAACTATAACTCTTGTACAATTTGATCATTTTACTAGTCCACTAGCTTGATAATAGAAAATTGACACGGCGACGTAGTAGGCAAATAACTAGTGTGTCACGTTTGTTTTTCTTGATGAATTCCATTAGGAATGACCTATCTTTCTTGGCTGTGGTATCCATATAAGTTTATAGTCATTCAGTATGAATGCTACATGAAGAACATAAGCCAGATGACAGAATAGAAAGATCTAGGACATAGAAGATCATACGATGAGCGATTCGACCGATTTGAATTCATATAAATATTTATCCATGTGGTACTTCATTGTACAATATATACAAGGCCCATTTGTATAAATATCATCATCTACATTCAGAAAGCCTTATGCTTTGGAAGAAGTTTGTATAGTTTGAGAAGGGGTTTTGATTGATCAAAAAGGAAAGTATGCTTCGACTAATATATCTTAAAATATGATCATATATAATATAGAAATCACATCTGAAATGGGTGGACAATTAGTTTCTCCAATCTACCATTTGTTGCACTCACATCTCCAACCTTTTAATATAGCGCATACATGCCGAGCCATTACTAATAGAAAAATATTTATTTTAATGGAAAAAGACCACGTAACACTCATGAGATTTTGGACTCAAAAAGGGTAAAAATTCCCAAAAAATTTTTATTCATTACAAAAACAATATAAAAGGTAATGATAACATTCATTTACATATTCAAATTGGGCAAAATTCCTCAATGCTCATGAAACATATCTCGTTGCTTCGACCCATTCCCAGAGCGTTGCATGACTATTTAACTTTCAAATAACGTTTTCTGTTAGTAGGTGAGATGGGTGTCACGGTTTTGAAAGGTTGGAAACACGAGTACCACAATTGATAAGTTGAAGACATGGGTGTCATAGGAGGAAATTTTATGGTACAATTGGATGTGGTCCGGGATTTGTGTTGTTTTGGACGATAAAGACAGCAAAAAACTTCATTCATTCATTCCCGCGGAGATTGAGGATGCCTTAGTTTCCTTCTTACAAGCTCTCTCTCTCTCTCTCTTTACTTTATGTCGTCTTCTTGTTGACATTAATCTCAGGAAGACGACATGAATAAAAAAGTGCAATATTTTTTCCTGTTTTTTCTTTTTGGGGTTCTGAATAGGCAGCCTCTATTAATCACAAAAGCAGATGACACAGAGAGCAAGGTGCATAATCTTTAACCATAGGAGTGAACCCACAAATTAATCGGTATTATTTTGAAAAAATTAATGTTAATCCTATGTTCATTTTCTGATCAACAGCTTTACATTGTTTATCTTGGCGATAAGCCACATAATGATCACGAGAGAATCACAGACTCACATCATGATATGCTGGCAAATGTGATTGGGAGCAGGTAAACTTTTTAGACAAGGTGGTTCAACAATTTTGAGGCTGATAAATTTTTTTTGAAATTTTAAAACTTGATGCAGCAAAGATGAAGCTAAGATGCAAATGGTGTACAGCTACAGGCATAGCTTCTCAGGATTTGCAGCCAAGCTCACCGAATCTCAGGCCAAGAAAATTGCTGGTACTTTTACAATCTTGTTAACCAAATAATTCCTCTCTAACTAATGGCAATTTTTGTGTGTCCAATATATGTGATTCAGAATTTCCTGAAGTGGTTCACGTAATTCGCAATAGACATCACAAGGTTCTGAATACTCGGAGCTGGGATTTCTTGGGTCTTTCTGCTCGTGTACCTGATAATCTTCTTCATGAATCCAATATGGGAGATGATATCATCATTGGTGTTATAGATACAGGTTTTGTTTTATTTAACAGGCATGTGCTTTGGCCTGGATGTTCGACTTTAGAACCACTAATCATGGATATGTATTGAAAATTTTGTGCAGGTATCTTGCCAAATTCGGCTTTCGAGGACGAGGGCTTAGGCCCAATTCCTGCTCGTTGGAAAGGCGAGTGCAAATCTATAGGCATGTTCAATGCCTCAACACAGTGTAATAACAAAGTCATTGGCGCTCGATTCTACAAAGATGGATTCATAGAAGAATTCCAAGGAAACATTACAGATTACTTCACGTATTCTGATAATCCGTCTCCTTTAGATGCTGTCGGCCATGGCAGCCATATAGCCAGCACAGCAGCCGGGTCTTTCGTGGCCAACACCTCCTACTTCGGCCACAATTTCGGCACATTCAGAGGTGGCGCTCCACGTGCACATTTAGCAATATACAAGGCATGCTGGTATTGTTAACTATCTCGTCTGAAAGTTTAAACCGTTGACAGAATTCACCTGTATTCATTTACATTGTGTCTTCAACAGGTATGAACCAACATTAGAAACACAAACATGTAATGATGCTGATGTGCTGCAAGCATTCGAAGATGCCAGTCATGATGGAGTTGATATTTTATCCTTGTCATTTGGGCCAACAATGCCTTTTATTGCAGAAGTTGATATGGGCAGCAATTTAGCCATGGCCTCTTTTCATGCGGTGTCTGATGGAATCCCTGTTGTATGTGCAGCCGGGAATGACGGACCAGTGGGGGCCACAGTAACTAATGTCTCGCCATGGATGCTAACTGTTGCTGCTAGCAACATGGACAGAGCATTTCAAACAATAATCACACTTGGAAACAACAAAACATTTTCGGTATATTTTTGTGAAGTTATTGTGACATCTGATTTTTGATTTTGAGGAGGAAATGTTGCCATTTCTTTCTGGTTTATGATTGCAGGGACAAAGTCTAATGACACGAGATGGGATTGGTTTCACAGATTTAATTTTTGGAGGGGAATTCAACAGGTAGATTTGTTATTGATATTTACATTTAAGATGAATGACCTTCTTATAAAAATAGATGTGCTGTTGTTAATCAGGAAATGATGTTTTGCTTAACTGAACAGTGTTCCCAACGAAAACTTTCGGTTTCTACCCAGTGAAGTAGCGGGAAAAGTAGTGTTATGTTATCTTATAAAAGACGGCAAATCAAATATAGCTGCCTATGCAATGGCCGCAAATGCTTCAGGCGCAACTGCGATGATTGTGGCAGTGCCCCCTGATGACGTCACAATATTCCCTTTCTATACGAGCAATTACTCGTTAGTTGGACTGCCTGTCATTCAAGTAGACTATGAAACTGGAACCGATATTATGAATTATTGTTTGACAAGGTAAATGTGATTATTAGCAACCCTTCAAACTTGATCTCCTCCGGGGGAAGAAGACGATAAAGAAAGAAGGAAAGGGGTACTCAATTGACTCTATAATCTGATTTTGTTTAATGAATTTTGATAAACAGTGATGCTAATCCTATGGTCAAGTTGAGCTCAACAAAAGTTCTTTTGGGCAAGCCAGTGCCTGCTAAGGTTGCTGCTTATTCTTCAAGAGGGCCCAACTCTTATGTTCCATCAGTACTCAAGGTATTGTTTTCGGGTATTATTTGCTAGGATAAAAAAAATGAAAAGAACATTTGCATTTATCCATTCTTAGCAATGTTGCTACTCGAGTACAAACTTATTTAGACCGAGGCTTTATACTTCTTCCTAAATTAGTATTTTTTCCCGCTTTCTTGATACAGCCTGATATAGCAGCACCAGGAACATCAATTCTAGCAGTTAATGCACACTCAGATTTTATGACGGATGGCGGATATAGTCTTAACAGTGGAACATCAATAGCAACACCTCATGTTACAGGCATAGTGGCTCTTCTGAGATCAGTGCATCCTGATTGGTCTCCTGCAGCAATCAAATCAGCACTTGTAACATCAGGTATTTTAAGGGTGAACGTATATCTAAAATTAGAACACAAATGAAGAAAGAATTTTGATGTTTGATAAATGGTGGATTGCTTTGGCAGCATGGAACACGGATACATATGGTTATCCCATCTTTGCTGAGAGTAACCCAAGAAAGCTGGCAGATGCTTTCGACTATGGGGGTGGTATTGCAAATCCAAATGGCGCTGCACATCCAGGTTTGGTTTACGATATGGGCAGAAATGACTACATACACTACCTGTGTTCTCTTGGCTACAGCAATGGTCTTATATACAATGCTACTGCGGACAATCCAGAAATTCAGAATGTTTCAGGGATACGCGGAATGTGCCCCAAACCAACAATGTCCACTTTAGATTTGAACCTACCTTCCATTACTATCCCAAATCTCAAAGATTCCATTACTGTCAAAAGAACAGTCACAAATGTTGGACTACCAGTGAAGTCTGTATATAAAGCCGTGATCAAAACTCCGTTAGGTACAAAGGTATCAGTTAAGCCTAAAATCTTGTCATTCGATTATGGAATTAAGAAGATCACCTTCCAAGTGACTATCAAGTCGACGAAGAAGTACAATCTTGGGTACACATTTGGAAGCTTGACATGGACCGATGGCAAGCACTCTGTTAGAAGTCCAATATCTGTGAAAACAGAGATAGTTCCTTTGTACTAATCATAAACAAGAACCAATGGAAATTGAATCATAAATGAAGAATGAGATATGGCTTGTCATATAAATATCTCCCTTTCAAATGTTTCTTGGGTATGATATTTATGAATATGGCTTGTGGAATCAGTGCATTTGTTAGTTTCAGAGATGTTATTGGATACAAAGCATTAACTAATTCTTGTCGAAGCGATAAATATTCCAAACTAATTATAAAATTTTTATTGGTGCATTAATAAGCTTCGAAAATAGGAGACAAGAAATTGTTCTCTCGAAAACATTTCAAAATATGAATAAAAACACAGTTATTCGCAGCTTTGTTTCACTTTGGTCATCGAATTTCTTTTGTTCCAAATTATTCACTAAACTGTTTAAGCACTTCTTGTACCCTCAATTATTAAGATTGACCTGATGATTTTTCTCATATATTTGAGTGAATGGGTATACTTTAAGTTTTTTTTTTTTTGGGAAAACCTTTTGCAAAAGCAAAATTAGCCTTTGTCAGTGTCCTTTTGAAACAAAAGTATTTAATTCTCATACTAATTAATCACACATCCTTAAAATAAAATATATTGCAGTTAAATTCTAAAGTTTTTCCTACTTCTAGCCACACATTTTTTTAAAAAAATCACTATCCAAAACATCATTTTTCTCAATAATAACTAGGGCTGTAAGCAAAAACCGTCAAACTGGAAAATCAAACCGAAACTGCAATTTTGAAACTGGCAGTTTGGTGTCACGTGGACCCGTCAACGAAATGGTTTTGAATCAAACCAAACCGGTCAAAAACGGTTTGGTTTAGGTTTGAAAATTTTAATTATGGTTTGAAACCAAACCGAACCGAAGAAAAATATATAAAATAAAAAAAATAAAAAATTGATTTTTTTTTTTAAATTTATCCAAAATTTCAATTTTGTAAAATTGAATAATTTTGTCATTTTGTAGGTATT